TCAAATGTCATTCCCTATCCCCACCGAAGACATCCAAATCTAATTAAAGACAAATAATACAAAGAGCCAAATTTTGATCCCTGATCTGGAGATCATCAATGATCCATTATGGAAGACAACATAGTGTAGTGAGATGAGCATGAGCTTGGACTCAAACGAGAATAATTGCCATCATGTTGCAGAGTTTAAGAAACGCAGCGATAATGTGTATAAAGTGCCAGCATGGGAAATAGTAAAGAGAAAGTACTCAATACATTACAGCCAATACAGTATGTCTTTAAAAAAATATCTCCATTTTGTAAAGATTTATGCATTCTACTGCTGTTTCTAGAGCTGAGTGATTCCCACTTAACATAAGAAAGAATAGAAAAGATAGTGACTCTATGTGTGTACGTGGGGGGACTTCTATAGCATATGATTGGTTTTAATCAATAGTTGACAACATTGCTAGAGGCATTTGTGAAATGAAATTACATGCAGTGTTTTTCATCATTTACATTACTGAAGTGAATAGAAAGTGACACTACAAACTCAGTTAAAAAGAATCTCTAGTGGACATAAATAAAGAAATAATAAAGGTATTTCATTTCCTTCCTCTTTTTTTCTACAGGGAAAAAAACAAAAGACTAATAGCTGAATAGTTTGAGGTGAGAAATGTTCTAAAGGAATTGAAACATATACTGTATTTCATTCTAAGATTTAACTTCTTCAAATCCAAATAAAATTGCTTGTTTAGGTATCTAAAATTGAGTATGAGTATCATACACAGAAATCAAATGATTCATTAATCAAGATAAATACTGGAATCAGTGAACTTTCTGGGTTTTCATTTTACTACATATGCTATAAATACATATATGTTGGACGAACTTATTCATACATATGCTATAAATACATATATGTTGGACGAACTTATTCATACATCTGCAGATTTCTATTTCCTCTATTACCTTAAATAGGAATGCACAAACAATTTGAACAATTTTATTTAATTTATATCCTTGTGTGGAAAAGTAATTTACCATGATATCGTGTCTTATTGTAAGTACAGTGTCCCTGGGTATTAGCGAGAAATTGGTTCCAGGACTCGCTGTGGATACCAAAATCCACAGATGCTCAAGTCTCTTAGATCTCGAATCTGTAGATGTGGACCCCATGAATACAGAGACTGACTGTACCAGACAACTGTGGAAATTGCAGGTCAATGGTTGATATCACACTTCCGTCTTCAGGAAATTAATATTTAGTTGTGTAAACATTTACTTAATGATGATGCGTGTATCCAATTATAGACTTTAAAGCCAAAAAATGATGGGCCAAAATGTTTCTTAACCTCTGAGCTGTCTTTTGCAGTCTTGTTTTCACAGTCATTTATTCCTTCTGCTAGTATTATATACTGGGCTGTGAGCAGAAGGGGAAGAGAGAAACAGAGATCCTCAACACCTGGTTGCTTTGCCTCCCTGAAGGGCACCTGTGGGTATTTCATTCTATACACAGTTTAATCTGCCCCATAAGTTACCATCGAGACGTTGTTAATTTTGATTCACAAGGCTGGGTTATACAAGTGCAAAGTCTGAGAATGGCTGACACACTAAGAGGTAGTACGCTGATCACAGGGGAATGGAAGTCATGGTGACATCCTAGTGCACTCAGAGAAAAAGCTAAAATGAGCAAAAGCAGCAGTGGAGGAGGATTGATGTTTTGGTCACCTGCAGTGTTGGAAGAAATGCAAAATCCCCTTCCCTGGAAAACAGCCTACACCTTCCTTCCTGGGAGATTGTGGAGAACTCAGTGAAGAAGCCTTGGAGGACAGACAGCTGGTGGGGAGAGGGTGTTCCTGACAACACACTTGGAAGATGTCTCCAAACACTGACTCACCATCCATGTAGCTATTGATCAAATAACATTTATAAAACCCACAACAATGACTTTTTTTCTTTTTCCTTATAATTTGTCTTATAACCCTGAATAAGAACAAAGAGTCACTGAGTGCTTTCTAAAATGAGACACTGGGAGTAAAGAGCTGTAACTTGAACTGAGGTCTTTGACCATTATGTTAACTGTTCTGTGAAAATACAATGCCGGCTTCTAGGTGAAATGGTCAACAGTGTACGTGAGGGCCAAATACCTCTCTCTGGTCCAGCAGAAGTGACAAGAAAAACTATAAGTCATAAGTAAACTAAACTTCTGAATGACATGCCCTTAGCATAAACATATCTATCATAAAGCACATTTTTCCATGTAAATAGACATTATTTTCTACATGGTTTTTGCCAAGAGTTAAAAATCCAAATGTTTCAAATTAGAGACAAAAACACTTATAGCTACTGTATCTTAATTTCTCTCACTACCAATTAAGAAATTCTGCCCTACAGTATGAATGTTTCTCTGCGATTCTCTACAAATCACCATTAATAAGCTAGTAAAGCAGAAAAATTAGTAGGGAGTTCATTTGATTTCTTTGCCCCAGAAGGCTGGCTTTAGTGAGAAAATTTATCTACATTTCAATTTTAATGCATTATGAATGATAAATGAACTCTACTGAATAAAGGACATGACATTGCTATGCCTTAGATTTCTATTTTCTTTCAACAAAATATTCTACCTTGCAAAGTTCATAGCTCAGTGTTTGCCTCCCTATAAGAAGCATACATATTAATGAAACCCACGATTCTAAAAAAACTCAATTTAGGATATGATGCAATAAGGGAAAAAAGGCAAGAAAAACGTCTGAGACGTGCAAGCCCATTTAGAAAGCAGCTTCACTGTTTTGGTTTCTATCAGGTATGTCTGCTCTGGCTGCTTCTAGACAGGGACAGCAACAGGAAACCGATTTTACATTGCTTTAATCACCAGGTTCGAGGGCTGCAGGATCAGAACAGTGAAAAGGCATCTGCCCTGACGTTGCATGCTGAACACAAGAGGAAAACACATTACCCTTCACAGCTCCCCCAGATCTGTTTGCACTCTCCCCTGTATTCTTTGAAGAATAGGCTCCTTATTCAGACAACCTCTAGTATGATCCCGCATAGCAATGGCTATAACCCTGACGGGTGACAAATGTTGAATTGATATTGCTAGGGGAGTGCTTGAGACTGAGGAAACAAAACCTGCATTCTTTCACTGTTGCCACCAGAAAGTCAATTTATTGTCACTGGTTATTTTTTGAACTTGAGGAACATGATGGCTAAATTCCTCATTTTATGTTAAGAGATGAATACACCAGCTAAGAACAGGACAAAGTGAGAAACATCAAATGTACAAAAAATAATATATGAACAGAGTTGACCCTCAGAGTTCAAGTGTTATTAAGTGGGAAGCATTCCAGGAAAAATGTTTACAGTTTAGTCTCTGACTATTAAAAACTGGAATTTCCTGAGTAAGCTAATATTAAAATAAAACACTAAGCATCATTAGCATTAGGAGTAAATTCTATTTTGAATAATTATCAGCACTCACTTGCTGATATTAAAAAATGATGACAAGAAATATGTAGTCATCTATGTTTTCTAGAACATAAAAAGTTAAAACAGTAAAAATACTTATTCTAAAAGAGTCAGCAAAGATAGGTCATTCTCGCTTTTGATGTTGGTAATAAACAAATAAGAAGGAAAAAATATAAAGCACACAGAGTAAAATTTTGCATCTCTCTATTGTGATTACTAAAAATGTTTAACCAATGACAAGAAAGCACTGCTCATCAGATTACATGATGATGATGAGAATGTTACTGATATAACGAAGAAGACCTAAAGTGAAATATACTATAATATTGGAATGTTCTATAAGAACTGTCTATTATGATAGGAAAAAATAAACCCCACTACATCTGTTTTGGATTCTTAATATTTTATTAGTTTGCATTTATTTTTATAATTCCTACCGAGCAGCATCCATTTATTGTTCTTCTTTGCAGGGGAACACTTGATAAAGGCAATTAACATTACATTGTTAAATGTGAACTTTAGACTGAAATCTAAAGAATATATTAGTGAGGTCAATTAATATAATGAAAATATAGCATATAATTACTCTGGTCTTTCTGACTTTGCCACAGAGGTCACAAAGGAAAGAAAATGGGTTCTAGGTATGAAGTAATTTCTTGTCATTTTTAAAGAGCCATATTAAAAAATTAGCATCTCTCTTCATACATAAGCAATTATGTATGAAGTAGCACATGAAAAATCACAGTTGCACATCATGTTATCAATAATAGATGTAGTACATAAATCATGGCAGTGCTAAGATATTAATAACAACCCTGTAATGAGACGAATATCACAGAAAGCTTTCAGTCATCTTTCCTAGCCTGTATCAGCATCAATTATCATTGCTGATTCTTTCAAGAAATCAAACTATGACTCTACTTTGAAGTTAAAGCAAATAATAACACATTTAAGACCCAGTCAAGGCTTTACTTGAAAAAGTTATAAAGAAGATGGTTAATATGTAGGTTTAGTTATAAAATTTCTTTTGCTAGTCTCATCAATTGCTGAATCAGTTTTTAATAGAAAGACTTTCAAGTACTCCTTATTAGTCATGAATAACCAGGCTAAAAACAAACAAAAAATAGTATTAATGTGAAGAAAAAAATTAAATCTTTTTTGTTTTAAAAAGTGACTGATACTTTATGTCTTTTAAGTGCATTATAATTTCTTGGTCATGAATAAGTTATATATCAAAGATTTTAGACCTGTAGCTTACTATTTCATAATCCAAGGGGCAATTTCATGATTGAGTATCCCACTGAGTTAAGATGGTAAATTCAGCTTCTACAAGTGCTCAAGTTTACAGCGGGGGAGTAGTTTAGATATCTGAATTGATTAATATAATTTCAAGTTACAAAACAGTACCTAAAGAAAAAAATATTATTAACCTCCACAGTCCACCATGCACATATGCATGGTATGTGGGGAAGGTATCAGAGTTGAGACAGGCATTTTAATACTCATTCTCAATCAATCCCAATAATAGTAGAGAAAAATAAACATTAGCAAAGACAATTTTGCAATTTTTTTTTTTATTGACTGAAAGTAAAAGATACTTTCTGAAATGTTACAATTACCAATTCAGGCCTTCAGAAAGAGATATTGGCATCAACCAAGATACTACGCAAACAAGAGATTACAATAAAACTTATGCAAAATGAAGCATGTATAAGTTCATGGATAATGACTTTTATATTAGCTATATAGAATTTTTAATTTTATATTATTGCTACATATTTAGTACAGTATTTCTAAAAACAGTTTGAAAAAAAAACCATTATAACGATCTTGGTACCATGTAATTTAAATTGAGATATTAGAACAAAGCCACCAGATATCCACCTTAAAAAAAATATTGCATACATTCAACAGAAATAATCATGTATGACACATGATTCAAATTTGAACTTAAAAGCATCAAATAATTGGCCAGGTAAATAAAGCTGTTTAAAGACATTATATATTATACTTCATTTCAGAATCCTAGTTGCTTAGATATCTGGAAAATATGGTCTAGAATCCCAGAAATTTAAAAAATATTCCCCTCTACTTCTTAAAAAAAGTTTGATATTCATTTGCATAAACCAATATTGAATTTCAAACATTTGATGTTTTGGCTAGACACTGTATTTTGAAATGCTTACACATTATAAGCAATGTGACAAAGAGAACAGGAAAACAAAACACACATCTTCCGCCTGTGAGGCTGAATGCAGGTCTCCTCAGTTAGGCAGGTCCACGTTCTGAAGGATGAGGGCCACTCGGCTTGGAATGTATACCTAAGTTGACAGAATCATGTCAGTGTGATTGAAAGAAATACTGAATGTGATATCATTAAGTACAGAGACATGATACCCTCTAATATTTGCTTAAAGTTACAGTTATCTTTACAATTCTACCGGCTCTAGGAGATGCAATTTGACAGTTCCAACAGTTCTGGCATCAATGTGAGACTCCATTAAAGCAACTGTCACTAAAAGGCTCCATATGCTTTATGAAAACCAATGTTCCTCGGACACGAGGGATATACCAGGCATTCATGGCTGTTCAGGCACCATCAGGTGGTAAAAAAAGGCTGCCCCACAGGTCACAATGTCAGGCTATGCAAGTGAATAAAAGTAATATACAAAACACTGCTTTACATCAAGACACTTCTTTATCATCCTGTTCTTTTGTTTTCACCTGTCATTTTAAGAACAAAAACTTAAATGTAATGTATGGGGGACTCTCACAACTTTAAGACAATCAAAAAGCTTGCTACTGCACTTAAAAAACAATATACATCTTTTTCATACCCTGCAGAGTCTTGACTCTGCTCCTCCTTGCATAAATACATCTCTCATCTCAGCTCAAAGCATTGTCTCTTCTCCCCTCATTCATAAAGCTCCAGCTACAGGGGTCTTTCATTTCCTTAAATGTGTCAGTCACACCCTTCCCTTTCTGTGGGTCTTTTACCATGCTCTTCCCTCTGCTCAGAACACCCTTTACTTCACGATTTCCTTATCTCTTGGATCTTGAAATATCCAAGCTCCACAAAGAGGTGTTCCTTGATAACACTTCTCCATTTCATTTTCTATCACAGCACCATTTTTGTTTCTTTCTGAATATTTAACATAATTTGTGATTTTTTTCAAGTTATGATCAACTCTCCCCACTAGACTCTGAGCTATATGGGGGCAGAGGCCAAGGATGTTCATATTTCTAACTCTTAGTAGGTGCCAATAGACAAAGCAAGTGCCAATGATGATTAAATGAAAAAATAAATAATGAATAAAGAAACAACAGTGGGATTAATATATGCATTGAATGAGACTATTATATGTCTAATGCATCTCAATGCTGCAAATGAACACAATGTTTTCCCTTAAGTTTCCTGCGATAAAGAACTCTTACAACTCTTAAAAAATCAAATATACTAATATAGTTTGTTAATTTTGATCATTAAAGATGCAGTTTTAAAATAATGACATTTTGAGAAATTTGTATTATGAATTTAATAACTATTCTAGTTTTTATAAATTATCGTTGTTACTCTCTTACTGTGCCTAATTCATAAACTTCACCAAAGGCATGCATATATAGGGAAAAAAAAATAGTATGTATAGGGTTTGGTACTATCCATGGTTTCAGGCATCCGCTAGGGGCCTTGGAACATATCCCCTTTGATTAAGGATGACTACTGTACACAGATCTACTTCTTAATGATAAGGAGCCTAACTGGCAAAGTAATAAATGATAAAACTATTGCACTATTCACTTTTCACTGCTGAGAATGTTGGAGTTACTGTAAAGGAATCTAATTAGTTTCATTTCAGGTTCAATAATCTCTGTTCTTCCATTTGTGCTCAAAATTTTAATTTATGAAGCAGAATAAGAAAGCCACCCCACCCCACCCTGCCCTTGGCCTCCAGTACACTGATTAATATATAGGTTAACATATAAGTTCCTATATCAAGAATGAAAATACAGAGTAATGATTATCCTAAATCAGACTTTTCAATAAAAGCCAGTAAAGCAGAATGGAGAAGAAGTTCTGCCCTATTGCTTCTTGGCATTTGTGAGCTACTCTGACCTTAGGAAACACGTTTCAGCGGTAGTATGCATACAGTTCTCTGATTTCACAGTTTCAACTGATGAAGCACATACAGATGATGCTGGAGAGGTACCTGCTGATGCTGCAACATGTATGGCATGTATGGCTATTTTAAGATTTCTTCGAGCTCTATTTGTTGCTATCTTTGAAAACAGATTTGATACTTATTCAGCAGATCCTTTGGATTATTGAGCTTGCAAATTAAGCTTTAGCAAATACTGTGAACTAGTTATGATGGACAGACATTTCATGGAAAAAGGAAAAGTTACATTTTTGACCCTATTTCCCCTCACTATTCCAGGTATGTGGGAGGTAGAAGTGATCTCTCATTAGTGGTGGAATGAGACCTATAGCACTTATCTTCAAGAAGTCTGATTGCATCCCAGCACATAAGAACTAATTTAATAAAGAGTACCATTATAATGAGGCATTCTTATAATAGGTATGTTTTTTAAATGTATTTTTCCCTCTGGCTCTTTGAAGAATAACTCTTGCAAGGAAGAATCTGTTTGATGGGGTTTTCTGGTCTACATGGGCTCCCTTATTCTTATATTAAAACCAGTGATCACTACGTCTGGAGCCTAAAGACTTATTTAAATGAATAATTCCTGAAGCACCTGTAGTCATAAAAAACAAATGCTGCTGCTGCTGCTGGGAAGACAGAATTAATCTTTATCTTTCTGACCAAGTTGAATCAGAATTCTATTACAGGCAGTGGTTAAGCTCTATTCTATTTCCCAGGTGCTTGCAGTGCTATATTCCTCTACATGTTATCAAGACATGTGATTCTCCATTGCAGTTGTGAATTTAGAATTGTACATTCCATATTTGCAAAATCAATGCAATTAGTGCTTGAAAATTATCTTCTGGCTGTTGCTACCATTGGTTAGTTAGCTTATTTTAATTGTGACAGAATATCTTTGCTCTTACAAAAACTGAAAGGATGCCAAGGTATTTTGTGCCCACCCCCAAATCTTGTGGGTCTATACCTAAGATTATAATTTTAGGTATAAGTCTTCTTAATTGTGTGCCCTCAAATCATGTAGTGTCTTGACATCCTTAAAATACCTAAAAAAATGATTGAATAGCCATGACAATAACTTTAAAATAGATTTGTAAAAGCATTTTGCAGTTTCCAAATAAAAGCTTGGCCTTGCTAATGAATTCGTGCGTCCTAAGAATCTCTTGCTGTAGAGAGGATACTATTACTAATCCTCTTATACAGATGGGGGAAACTGAGGCAGCACCAAAAGGTTAAAATACTCAAGTTCTTGTAGCTAGTAAATGGAAGACTAGGGGATTGGTCCCAAGTTCTCTGTCACAACATTCTGTGGTCTTTTCACTAAAATAAGAATTTCCTACATAAGAATTTTGCTGTCTGAATCTTTCTCTTTTATGTCTGGTTTCATTGGTTAAAGTTCAGCCTTAGAGCAATTGGTTGCTGCTTCTCTATGGCTCCTTTTTACAAGCTGAATTATCTTCCCTAACCCTTGAACGGTCACTAACTCTGGTTATTTCAGAGCTTTAAGATAATTTTATTATTCATTTCCAAAACGATTTTTGTCCATCTTAGGTTATATGGCAAAATTGAGTGTTCTGACGAACTTCAGCAATCATTCTTTGAAGAAAGAATGTGATAGCACCTTTGCGTTCTCCCTCTTAAAAATGCACAGGTATTTATATCTAAAGATATATCAATATCACCATTGACACTACCCATATGCACACATACACTGAGGGTAAAACCTAAATCCCCTGTGGCTGTTGTACTTTCTTCAGAGTGCATAATCAACAACTTGATCTTGTTCATCCCAGATCTCTTTCATTTATTTTATGTCACTGTCTTTGGCACATCAATTCTGTGGTGGCTTACAAAGTGAGGTGCTGGCACCATTTTAAGAGGTGAGAATACAGTAGAAAAATGAGGAAGTCAGTGTCCCATATAGATTCTCCTGCTTGACTTATACCTAAACTGAAGAAAAATTAAAGAATTTAACAGCTTATAATAAAGCTGAATACATCCTGGCCTCATGAAAGAGAAACAAATCTTAATCCAACACCTCCCATGGTTAAAAAATGCAGATTTGAGACAGAGAGATAGAAGAATACGGAGAGGATGAGAGAGAGACAGAGAGACAGAGAGAGACAGAGAGAGACACACAGAGAGAGAGAGACAGAGAGAGACAGAAAGAGACAGAGAGAGACAGAGAGAGAGAGAGAGAGACAGAGAGAGAGAGAGAGAGAGAGAGAAAGAGAGAGAGAGAGAGACAGGCGTATGACTAATCAGGAAAAGGGGAAAAAAATAGAATGCAGATGTGGACTTGAGCATATCATCTGGCCAAAAGTAGTAAACAAAGAGTTCTTTCATATCTGGAGAGTTTCTAAATTCTACATTTTTAAGAGAATTTAAACCTAGTAATTTAAAGCAAGATTCTTTCATTTATGTTAATAACAAATATATATGTAGAATTATATATATATAATTTTATATATATAATTTTAAATGCTTTCCTCAGTAATATGAAGAAACCAGAAAATTTTACAACTAAAATGAATTCAGTATTTAATTGACTACCTGAAAAAAAAAGATATATTTTTATTGATCATTTTAAGGTATTTTAAATTAAACTTCATTAGGCAGCCAATAATGTAGAAATCTGCTTAATGTAAACTGTTACAGAGAAAGCAAGAACAGAAGGGAAGTAAATTGTAGCATTAAAAATAGAAATGTTCAAAATAGAAATGAAAATTTTAAAATGCCTTATTATTTTTGAGAAATAATTTTTAATCCTATTAATATTCAAACTTCCCCAACTGTACACCAAAAAATTTCCTACTGTAAGTTTTTCCAAATCCAATTCAGTCCAGTACCATAAACTGCATCTGGTTCTTCAGCACAGTTCTCCTTCTCTATCCACCCCAACCCTATATTTTTTCATGTTGCTTATTTGTTATTTCTTTAGACAGAAACATCACTTTCTATAGTGATAGAAATTTTGAATATAAATTTGAAAAACCAATAAGAATTCAACAAATATATAATTTGAGGGAAGACATTTTAGGGAGAGGGTACAATATGTCCCAGTAAGGAACATATGAAAAACCTCATTTTTTATGGAGCTGTAGGTAATTATGGATGACTGGAATTCAGGAAGAATCTACAGGAATTTGTACTAGAAAAGTAGATTTGCAAGTCAACTGCAAGAACATAGACTACTGTGTAAATGATGGAAGGCCATTAAAGAGTTATAGAGAAACGACAGGATTTTACTTGGGTTTTAGAAAGATGACCCCAGTGGCAGTAGGGAGAATAAATTCTATCTAAGTAATAGAAACTGATAACCATCCTTTAAAATAAACATTAAATTAATAAAAATTTCAGTTTTTTTTCTAAAAAAAAGAGAGCATTTTAAAAATAGAGAATTAAATTTAAATACAACGAAAAGAGTTTAACCTTACTTACCAAAAGAGAATAGGAAAGCCCGTTATGTTCAAAAGCCTCAGAAAAGAAATCGGTGTTGTGGTCCAATCTCTGGTGTCCTCCATATTCAGCTGCATCTGAATCTAGCACAATTTTGAATGTACAGTTCTTAAGGAATCAGAACAGTTCAGAAATTGAATAAGATATTATAAAATATATTCTGAGGCAGCAATTTAAAAGTGAGTATTTCAAATACTGTGACATCATAATTTGTGTCACTCATTCTTCTAAAATTTCACAGATTCTCATGTCCTAAAGGGGCTTTTCATAAGATATCTAGTCTACACCCCCATGGGATATTTGTTATTCTTCTATCGTAGCTCATTACATGATCATTCAGCCTGGGACTGAATATACCTATTTATGGAGAATCAGCTTTCTTCTTAAGGCAACCCATTACATTTGCTAGAAATTCTCTACCACAGTAAACAGAAATTTGACTCCTTGGAACTATTTCTACCCAGAAAATCCACAAAGAATAAGTTCAAAATACAATAACCTTTCAAATATTTAACAAAAGCGATGTTATCGCCATGTGTCCGCTATGCATAAATACATGTTAAATACATCTCAGAACTTTTGATCATCCTTCATTTGATATGGCTTTTTACTCCTTGCAATCTCTGAATTCATTCCAGTTTTCCAGATCCTGGCTATTAAAGTAAGGAACACAGAAGTGAACCAAGTATCCACGTGTGCTTTAAAAAGTACAGAAGCAAGCAGGCTTACTCTTCCCGCTGGTTACAGGCAGCATGTTATTAACACAGAAGACCATGCAAACCTACTATCCATCATTCCACAGGTGGATTCATGTTGCAATCATGTGATCTGCTACAATGTGACATCTGATTTTTCACAGTGAGTTATTAAACCTGTTAGCATTACCATATTTACAACAAAATAAAAGCTATGGTTATTATGTTCAAATTTATTATACTGAGAATGTCTAGACATGACACTTTGATACAAAACTCCCTAAGAAAATATGTATCGGTACTTAGAAATCTTAAATTTCTTCTAGCCTAAGGAGGGATATAGATAGATTTAAGTGTTTTTGTGTTTTCCTTTCCTGCTTGGTAAATCTTTAATCTCAGAAATGTTTGTATATTTTCATTACAGCAAAAATTATCACATTAAAAGTACATATAGGTAATAGACAAAGACCACCATTTTCATGCCTAGGAAACCCTGTCTAGGTAGGAGATAGAGATGGATTTCCTACAGGAACTTTTGCTGGAAGTAGTGGCTCCATTTCAGTCAATCCAGTACGGCCTGCTCTGATTCATATTTAAACTGATAATAAACATATTAATGTGTTTAAAGGAGAAAGAAACACAGAGAGATTGAGATTCAAAAGATTAATATCAAGAATAGGCACATTCTAAAGTCACTCAATACAGCTGGAAATGATTTGAACATACCAACTTATTTAATGGTGAAATATGGATAGTGAAAATAATTGGAGATGTAGTAAATAAATATTAAGAAGTATTGTGGAATGAAAGAAATTAAAAGTTTAGCTTTCCTTTCTTCATCCTAGTTCATTAAATACTTGCACAAATCTTCAAAAAGCAAAAACAAAACCAAGACTATAGTTTAGAAAAAAAAATGTCTTAGAATACTTTTTAAGACTTTAAAATAAAATATCAACTATTAAATTACTGGTTAACAGCATAGATTATTGGTAGTAGTGTCTGAGGAAAGCAAGTGTATCATCAAAAGCAGTGGATCCCAACCTGTGAGATGACAATCACTGGTAGTCATGTTATTATAAGGAACTCATTGAATGAGTAATTATGTTGTGATAAGGGACTGGGAATCTATATGCACATTAGATAGTGTCTGAGGACTAAATTCTGTTATTATACACATTTAATACTGTATTTCAAATAATGTGCATGTTTTTTGATTAATAAAATGCAGATTCGTTTAAAAAGTTGAAATTTAAAGTCAGTTTTTGCCTATATATTTTCTTGATCAAGGATACTGAAAGAACAATTGTTTTTGACACTGAAAGGGATCATCATACTTAAAAATAGAATCTATTCACACACACACACACACACACACGCGCGCGTAATTTGTAGCCATAAAGGAAAAGCTAACAAAACCCATAATGAAAGTTTTGAAACATCACTTTAGACCTATTTATCTGATCTAAAGAAACAATTCTGCTGTAGCCACTTTTAGAATTACCCAGCCCTGTTATTACCCAGGTAACACATAACTTCCTTTAGAAAATGCAAACAAACTATAGAAAGCCCAACAATTTAAAACATTAATTAAAAGTAATGATTGTGAAAAAGCTTTATCATTGTAAATTACTACCACATATTATTCAAGTATCAGAAATACCCCATCGGTCGAAATATTGTTTAAAATAAAAACATTTTACAGAGGTTATTTGAGCAACTGAATTTTTTCCCTCTTCTCCCACTCAGCCATTCCTCACTCCCTTTGCATGCACACTCTCACGGTATGAGACCCAAAGAGCACAAAACCCCCATCAAATCCTCATCTTCCACTAAACAAACAAAAAATCTCTGAAAATAGAACTCAAATCCCATTTACGCTTATTTTAAACTACCTTCTTTATATGGTTTCCAATTCCAGAGTGGATAAAACAAATTTAGCAAGATACCTTAACACGCCCTCTTTCGTTCATAGCTACCTCTCTATACCTAGCTGAGGGCTTTCTCATAACAGGGTCTGAATACATCTTTGAACCTGATATTTTGATTCACCTGGAACGGTCAAATTACATACCTTATTCTAATATTAAAAAAAAGTAGAATAAACTATCTTTATTCCCCCATTCACTTACTAAGTATTACAATGTATATGGCACCGTAAAAGATTAAAAAAAAATGACTATGATATCACTTTAGTTTACATGCAATTTATAACCTGTAAGGAGAGATTAGACATGCACAAGAATATCTATAAATAAATCAAAAAAGCTATATTCGGTGACAGGTAGAGCCAAGAAGCAAAAGAAGGATTGACAATCAGTATATAAAAAATCTTGAAGGCTAAGCTAAGATATTCAGATTTCTTTTGGTAATTAAGTATGAGAATGTTGAAGATTCGTGAGAAAGGTTATGACAAGCAAATTAATCTGGAGGTCAGGGATAGAATAAGATAGACGAAGGAAATTCTATGTCGAAAAAACCAGTCAGAAGTCTAACAGTGGTCCATGGATAGTAATATGGCTAAACTTGGATAGTGCAAATGGAGAGACATAGATACATCAATGAGGTTTTGATGTACAACTGATGGTACGAAGATGGTAAGGAAATTGGTGCTCAATTTGGAAAAACAGAAGTAGAAAGGGAGAATAATTTTGCCCAAAGACATACAACCAGTTTAGAGGTAGAGCTAGGATGTATACATAAGTCGAATGCAGATCTAATTACCCTACTCTCTGCAAGTAAGTGCCTATTTTATGCTGAGAATCAGGCAAAGTGTTTTAATACTAAAGTTGAGATTTGAAGAATATAGATGCCAAAATGAACATGATATGAGAATAAAAATAAGAAAAGCAGAATAAGTGCTATTCATCTAAGTGATTAATCTAGTGAAATTTAAAAGATGGGCATTAAAGAACTGAATTCTTAACATTCCTTATGGAGTCTGGATACCTGTGAAGTTTATTGCATTTGCTCTAGATTCATTCATTAGGTTCATTTGGTCATTTTATTGGTGGTTACAAAATATTGAACCAAAACATTTACCTTGCTCAAGTTTGGAAAATAGAATAGGAAAAAATAATAGAATGATAGAATCTATTTATGAAGATTTATTTTTGAAATGGAGATCAAATCAGTCCCTATCCATTCGAATGATATTTAAAAATATTACTTCTTATTTTAAATTCAAGAGCTTCCTAGGTATTTGATATACCTATCAACAGGTCGAAGTGGGTAAGAAGTTGTAAGCATTATTTTATAATCTATGTCCTTAAATTTAAACCAAGGAAGAGCCATGTCCTGAAGACCTGTACTAATAAGATTAAAGAAAAGTGAAGGCATGAAGACTCTTAAATTCAATGGCTCTTCAAATACTTCAAAAGCTGCTGTGTTTGCTCAGTCACTTTTAAAGTGTCTGTTCAAAGTATAAGGATTTTGATGTAAGAAGTACTATCATTTATATCATTCTGCACTAAACTCACTTCGCTCCCATGGATGAAGCTAAGGAAATGCATTGTAAGGTACAACTCTCTTGAGGTTTCAAACTGAGTGACAATAAAAGGGGTTTTCTAGTGACTAGATGACCATCAAGGTGACAAAGCTAAGTTACCATATATCTTTAGATCTAAGACATCCGTGATTTTAAGATGAATTTTTTTATATATCTCCAATAAAGAGAAAAAAAAAAAATAACTACCAAGGCAATCACTGAAGGCATGTTAAAATGTGAAAACAAATATATATTTATTAGAATATATCAATACAAAATCAGTGAATACAAAATATTGGACCAAAATATTTACCTTGCTCAATTTTGGAAAATATAGTACAAAAAGAATGATAGAATAATAGAATTTTGTTATGGTGACTTCTTTTTAAAAGAAAATCAAATAGGTCCCTTTCCATTTGGATGTCATTAAGACTATTTAAATATTTAGAAACAGCAAACCAAGGTCAAGATACAGAGAACAGACTGGTGGTTGCCAGATGCAGGGGTTGAGGTTGGAGAAACAAGTATAGGACATGTTAGCCACTCAGGGAAAAAAAAAAATATATATATATATACACATATGTGTGTGTGTGTGTGTGTGTGTGTGTGTGTGTGTGTGTGTATGTATCTAGTATGTTATTTTCAGATCTGAGTCTTTCAGCAATCCATCCATATTATTATAATTGCAGTAACTTCTGGGATCTGAATGACCCCAGGAGAGAGAATCTATATCAAAGGCAGAAAACATTAGATACGAAATTCTAAGGAACTGTGAAAAACATACCAGAATAAGAATAGGTGCTGAAAAGCAAGGAGAATTTTATATTTTAACAGTCTCAAAATAAATAACCAGCACAGGACTTGCCACATGTTCTAATGTAATTCTTCCCTTTTTATGTTTCACAAACTGAATTTTATTTA